TCCCAGTTCTTTTTAATTATACAATTCAGTGCCATTTTAAGTTGAAGGGTCCAGGAATATAGAAATATAAAACTATCAGCTTACTAAATAAAAGCGGACAGTCATCAGCTCTAAAGGTTAACTTCTAACCATGGCTCTCGGCTTTACGGCCCGCTCCTCTGTCAACAGCCAGGGGTTAACTTTTAACCCCCTTCCCCCTTACAGCCATCAACTGCCTGGACCAAAGTTAACTTTTAATAGTTGTGTCTACGTGACTCCTAGCATGCACCCCATGTCTGACGCTTTCCCCCTTTCTGTAAAAGGGGCTCGTAGCCCCCCTCCATTGCCACAGCCTCAGAAATCCCGGACATTGGCTGTGGCTTCAGCTAGCTGAAAAGCTTTTGTGCCCCGTGGTGATTTTTTTTTTTTTTTTAAATCCTGGCATGATCAGACACCGGATGGCCTGGGAATTGAACCTGGGTCTTCTAGATCATCAGTCGCTGCTCTTAATCTTTCAACTACCTCTCTCCTCCCGAGGTGATTTTTTATTTATTTATTTTTCTGGAATAAAGTTTGCTTCTGGTTTAATAGACTTTGATGGTCTGTCCCCCATTATTTCGAGACCCCGAACCCAACAAAGTGTGTGCACGGATACGCAACGAGTCTCTAGAACTTTCTCTAATGAAGTTTTTTCTGTTATTGAATTCTGACTGCAAACCTAGCACTCTGCAGCCCTTTACAAAAGAGAAGGAAGCAACTGACAGGTACGACCTTAGAAAAGCCTTGGATTGCTCGAGAATGCCCAGCGTGGGCTGGTGTGCTAAGACTGTGAGGGAGTCTGTGACGGCAAGAAGGAGTCATCTCGGTAAAGCATGCTGCGTACAGCCTCCATGCAAGCCAGGAGCTGGAAATGAGCCTTGTTCAGTAGTATTTCAGAACAGCAGGATTAGTGGGTAGATGTAACTTTTTGGTATTTATACGGATTGGTCTCCACCAAACTTGTAATCGTTTGGTTTGGGTCTTTATGACTGCTCATGGTCATTCATTCCTCAAGGGAAAAGACAAGGCTGGAGGGCACTCCGGGGCTCCACACAGGCAGCCAAACAGCTGCTTACCCCCTGGAAGGAAAGGACAAGCAACATGGAGCTTTTATTACATTCCCCTCTGCTGTGGGATGTTCTGTATGTCCTGTGGGAGCCCATTCTGTGTTTACTTGGTTGGGTCTGAGCGGCTGTGGGACTGGCGGGTGACAGAGATTTGTCCTGACTGTGGGCAAGGTGAAAAAATCAAGCTACACCCCTCCCCTCTCTTCCCCTGCTGGGACCCATTTCTTTTGTTCCAGTTGTATATGTCAGGGGTGAATGTGTAGACACCAGTACCACGGAGGAGGAAAAAAATCACTTGTAGGATCCAGCTAAAATATCACCAAGCTTCTTAAGCCATGGCTTGACCTTTGGAGAAGTCCTTGACGGTTTCCTGCGGCTTGCAGCAGTTTTGTGGTCCTGGGATTGAACCCGGCTCTTGTACTCGTCAGCCACGTGCTCTCTTGCTGAGGCACACACTAAGGCACCCTCTGAGAACCATAATTTTGAAGATCTAAGTCCTCTTTGCTATCTGCTGGGGAGAATTCTGTGTCCTTTGCTTGCACTTAACTATCAAAGTTAGAGAAACACTTTTGTATTATTGGCCAACACTATTATGGCCCTGGGAAATGTGAAATCTGATGAAAGAATTTTTCGCTTTTCTTTTACCTACTTTTCATTCTTATTTATTATTATTATTATTTTTTCAGACAGAGTGTCATATAACCCAGGTTATTTTTGGACTTCTTGTTACCCTGCTCTGCTGGATTACAGGTGTGTGCACTGTGCCTGGCTTGATTTTCTATTTTTATGCTAATTTTATCACGTTATTTTATAAACTTTTGTACCACTCCCATCCTTTCTTTTGGTAAGGAGATAGATAGGCTTTAAGGAGCCAATACAGGTTACCACACACGGTAGATGCTTCTGGAGGGGCTCCGAAGGGCTAACCAAAGCATCATGTCATTAGAATTTAGCTGCGTGACCCCATCATGACCTTTAAGCTGTCTTTTTTTGCTAGAAGTTTGAGAATCAGAAGCTGAAGCCATATGGGCAGGGGGGTCCTTCCTGTGGCCACAGTTTTGGGAAAGACCACTCTTCAGATGAGGCTGTCAACCGTTCTCTTTGCTCTGCAGTGAAGTACAAGGATCCTGAGGGATCCCCATGGTTCTGCCTCCCCTTGGGGAAGGGCACATGGGAATGGATGGTAAGGTAGCAACCGAGCACAGCACGGCTGTGTAAGATGGCCTCATCCTGAACATGAGTGGGAAGATGCATGGCAAAAGTAGGGATGTCAGGTGTGTGGGAACTTAAGGTCAAGGGCCTGTGTTGAGAGCCAGAAATGGAACTTAGAAAGTACTTTGTGGCTTTGAGCCTTAAGAAGAGTTCTGAAGGGTTAGTATTTCAGGAATCTGGTTGGATTCATGACTTCTCGTTGAAACTACAGACCAGCCAAACTCCTGTACTTCCCAAGTGAGAAGCAGTTCTATGCAACCAAAAGCAGACTTGATCAAGATAGACTGGATAGTGTGTGTGTGTGTGTGTGTGTGTGTGTGTGTGTGTGTGTGTGTGTGTGTTGGGTGTTCCCAAATATGTAAATACACTTGTTCAGTTTGTATGTTACTTGTATGTCTATGTTTTTCAGGGCTCACTTGGTATTGGGTAATCAATTGGTGTGCTCTTCCCTGGGGAAATAAATAGTAATAATAATGATAATGATGATGATGATGATAATAACAAGAAGATAAAAAAACAAGTGAAGATGGGCTGGGTTCAAATGCAGGGCAAACTAATTTACTACTTGTGTGATTTGGGGGGAAAATTCATAGTTTGTAGAAACCAGATTCTGTTTTGAGGATTAAGAAGTTGGATACATGCAAAATAGTTTAAAGACTGATAGCATCATGGCAGCTACTGTTTCTGTGCTTAAAGAATGACATTTCCTTGGGCCTGTGGACTTGTATGGAACAGCTGAATTTATTTTATTATTTTTGTTCAAATTTAATTGAATTTCATGTATGTGGTGCCTATCTGTGTACTACGTCTGTGACATGCCTGCAGAGGCCAGAAGAAGGCACCAGATCACTTGGAACTGGAGTTACAGATAGTTGTGAGCTACCATGTGGGTGCTAGAAATCAAACCCGGGTCCTCTGGAAGAGCAGCCGGTGCTCTTAACCACTGAGCCCTCTCCCCAGCCCCAGGCAGGAATTTATGATTTAAGACAAGAAGGAAAAAGCAGGAAGTACTGTTCACTGCGATGCTTCTTCACAAAGCACATCTGGAATCCTACCAGGAAACAGCAAATCAGCCACTATGATCCCCATCTGCCCTCACTGTATCTCTTACTGAACTCTCGGAACTTAAAGACAGATTGGGAACTTTTAATCGTTCACTGGCCTTTTAATTGGAGCCGTGAAGCATAGGTCAGAAAACTTCGCTTTGAGGAGGTGCAAATAATGTGTCCTGTTTACAACAGGACATTATGTTGTTACAGAAAGCTATCCATATCCATCCTGGCCTACAACCAAAGAAACAAAGGCCTTGCATTGAAGTACATGTTCGAAATTCTATACCTCTGTGCCCAACCGCGCAGTTACCTGAAGGAATAGAGAAAAAGAGAGATTAGTTTTCAGGAAGCTAGGAGCAAAGCCAGTCTTGTTTTCTCTTGCTGGTGGAGGGTTTGGAATCTGTTCATTCCCCTTCTGGGACCTGTCTTCTTACTTCCCATCATATCTCAGTGAGACTGTAAGGTCTAGAGCTATGAAAAGCTGGTTGTGGTAGCACACATCTTTAATCCCAGCACTCTAGAGGCAGAGGCAGGTGGATTTCTGGGAGCTCAAGGCCAGCCTGGTCTACAGAGTGAGTTCCAGAACAATCAGGGCTACAAAGAGAGATCCTGTACCAACCAACAAACAAACAAAACATAGTTTAGAGGAAATAGGAATCTGGTGGCTGAATAGGGATGCATGCATCATGAAATGGGCTCCCCTCTTTAAAGATCCTGGGGGTCTTCAGGAAATAGTGAATGATAACTAGTGTAGAATGACACCCCGACACTCCTTACCCACATCTTAGCCCTAACCGATTGACCCATCTCCTATGGGTGGAACTTCCCATGCTGGGCTTATATTATTTTTTTAGGATCTGAGCCCTTAGGAGACCTTTTCATATTGAGACCTCCTACCTGCAGGCAATGAGATCACCAGGTAGAACAGTAAGACGGAAAGATGCAGGTGCATGGCTGGAGGATGCAGAGCCCAAACTGCTCAGAGAGCTGTCTGGGAGCCTCTTTTATGGAGATGCTCTGGGCTAGGTGGAGCTGGATTCTGTCGCACTCTTCCAGGGAGATCACAGCATCTATAGGGTTTAGAAGAAGAGGAGACCCTGCATCATTCAACACTACCTTCATCTCTGCAAACCACATGATATGAAAGTCCTCAGCTAAGGGCAGAGTGCTTCCACCAGCAGAGTAGGACACCCCACATCAGGCCTAAGCACCTTCCCCCCCACCCCTTGAAAATTCAGGGAAAAAATGGCTACATTATTTGCCTTCAAGTCACATTGAAAGCCCAGGGTCCCAGAAATACTATTACAGAGCACAGGCAATTCAAGACTGGGTAGGATACAGGTAGGAATGCTCACAGAGTTCCAAGAAATAAAAGGGTCTTAACATGTCAACAGGGCTTGACTAAGAGTACAGGGACCACTCAGGGAGTAGAGAAGAGAAGTGTCTCACTCACCTGGCCAGAGGCTGATGGAGAAAAGTCCCCAGATGAGCTTTCTTTCAAATAGTTGGCTTGAGATACCAATCGGGGCCTGAGGCCCTCATGGGTCAGAGAGAAGCTCCCATTTGGGAGTGGTTGAGTTGGAACTCTTGCTGCTTTCTCATGTGCTGTGTTCAAGGTTGAATGCCTAGACTCAGAGGTAGAACTGAACAACACTTCCCTGGAGCTAAAACTGTGGCCCTTGAAAGGAGCTGTTAGCCTTGCACTGCTTGGGGCCAGTGATGGATGATTGATACTGACTTTGATTTTATTCTGCCCTTTGAGGGTAGGCTTGCTGCCAAGTGGCCCACACACCACAATCTGCAAGATGCTAGTAGAGCGTAGTTTTATTGGTTACACTCTGCTTTGAAGTCTCTTGAAGACTTTATTTAGCATCTCAACTCCAGCTTCATCTTCTCCAAAAGCACATGCATTGCAGGAAGTTCTTTTTGGAGGAGGAGAGAATAAAATGAAAAATGTATTCATGCTGGTATACTTTATTTTAAAAATACTATTAGTGCACATGTGCCTGTATGTGTCTCTGTGTGTGTGCATGTGCGTGCGTGCGTGTGTGTGTGTGTGTGTGTGTGTGTGTGTGTGTGTGTCCAGCATGCATGTGGAGGTCAAAGAACAACTGTGTGGAATTGTCTCCTTCTACCTTTATGTAGTAGTTCTAGGGGTCAAATTCTAGTTGTGAAGCTTGCAATGCTAGTACTTACCAGCTCAGGCATCTTGCTGGTACTCATGCTGGTGTTGTGCCTGTGTTGCAAGACGCCCCCTCCCCCCATACACACACACACCATGCCCTGAGCAAGACCACCACAGAGCCTATATCCGATGCAAGCACACAGGGGCTTATTAATAACAAAGCAAGCCCAGGCTTGGTCCGTGTCCAACACTCGACACAGCAGGTGGAGGAGGATGGCCCCGAGCACTCACTTCAAGGGGTTTATATAGGAAAGGTTACATATCTCGGGATTGGACAAGGGGGCTTGGGGTGAGGTAGTTCTTTGAAGTTACTTGCTGAATTATAAGTGTGAAGCTACCAATGGCTAACAGGATGCAGGGTACCTACAGAGACATAAATTTTTTACTCCCTATATCCTGTTTTTGCTGAGCCCAGGATATATACATTCAGATTTATTGTTCCAGTCTTATTTTCCCATGAGTTCAATCTCCGGTCAGCTATAAAACTGCTGGTCAGCAAATACCTTTAGAGAAGGGAGGATAGCGTCTCTCAAGAGGGCTACTGATTTTTCCCTTTCACTAGTATACTCTAGGTTCTCATTATTATCATTAAATAATCCATCATAGTAGCTATCTTCCTTTCTCCTTCAGAGACTTCCCAATGCCTTCTTGGTAAAGGAAAACTGCTGAGAGAATTTTGTTCTTGCGTCTGCTTTGAGTTAAACTCTGGATGAGACCATGACAGCAGGTTAAGCATTGAAGTGTTTGGGTGGCCAGTGAGATGTCACTCCCAAGGAAGGATTCTTTGCCATGAAATGCTCCAGGGTATCTTTCACTGGACTCATGGTCTCATGGAGCTTCAGTCTCATCCCAAACACCTACCATCACAAACACAGCAAAGAGGCTTGTGACAGCATTCAGACCCACTTCTTGGAATCCTGGCCAATAAGCAGATGATACCCTGGCCTGCCCAGCATCCCGACACCATCCTACCTTCATTCCCTTTAAGAAAGGACTCCTCCCCCTCCCCCTTCTTGCTTTCTCTCTCTCTCTCTCTCTCTCTCTCTCTCTCTCTCTCTCTCTCAACCTATCTCTCTTTTCCTCTCTCCTCTCTCTTCCCCCC